GGCACTGGTTGCCCTCTGAGCTTCCAGCCCACAGACTGAGGGGGAATTGAGTGGCTGATCAGAGGGGGATTGCAAGGATCTCTTTGCCAGTGCTGAACCAGGAATCTCTTGCTTTGCTCATGCTTGGATCTACATCACAGTTCTGAGGGGCGGTCCAGGGACAAGGAGGAGCGTCGAGGTGGAGCTTGTAGTGGTGGTGGAGGAGAAATCCTCCTCACAGTTCCAAGACAGAAAAGAGGGCTTGTGGTCGCTCAGAGGCCAGAGCACAGGCCAGGAAAGGAGTAAACACCTTGCCCCTTATCAAACCACCTTGGAAGAACTGAAAATTCACAGGTCCCTAGAAGTATCTCTGAAAACAGCTGTACAAACCCCCTGAAGCTTGGGACAGTACATTCTCCACATTGGAAGCAGACCTCTACCTTAATAAAGAGTTTGTAACTCAAGTAATTGACTGGGATCATGAGCAAACCTTGCAAGAAGTGTCAGACCATAGAATCTTTTTTTGGTAACAAAGAAGATCAAAACATACCACCAGAAGAGGACAACAAAGTCAAAGCTCCTACATCCAAAGCCTCCGAGAAAAATAGGAATTAGTCTCAGACCTTGTAAGAGCTCAAAAAAGGATATTGAGAAGCAAGTAAGAGAAGCAGAGGAAAAACTAGGAAGAGAAATGAGAGTGATGTAAGAAAATCATGAAAAATACGTCAACAGCTTGCTAAAGGAGACCCAAAAAAATACTGAAGAAAATAACACCTTAAAAAATAGCCTAACCCAAATGGCAAAAAGAAGTCCAAAAAGCCAATGAGAAGAATGCCTTAAAAAGCAAAATTGGTCAAATGGAAAAGGAAGTCCAAAAGATTACTGAAGAAAATACTTCTTTAAAAATTAGAATAGAGCAATTGGAAGCTAGTGACTTTATCAGAAATCAAGACGCTGTAAAACAAATCCAGAAAAAAAGAAAGGAAGGAAGGGAAAAAGGAAAAAAAGGAAGAAAGAGTCCTATTTTTAATGTAGAAGAGAGAACAGAAGAAAAGCCAGAAGGAACCATGGATAAGCAGGAGAGCTTTGAAGGTTATATGAAACATATTATATGTTTCAAAAAGAAAACAAGCTGCACATCAGAGAGATTCACAGAATTTGTATTGTTCTACTCTATCTGTGGCAACACACATCTTATGTGTTGTTTATGAAGTTCCCAATAAAACATGTTTTTGAATAAACAAAGACAAGGACACAGCTCTGCCCTGCTGGGAAGAAGGTTCTCCATCACATTAAACTTTGAGGCACTTGAAGCAGAGGAGAAAACACAAGATGACCAAAAGTTCATTTTTTGGCTAAAAGACCCTACCAGCAGTGCCCCTCCCCATGAGTCCTTGGAAGGAAAACATCTGCCTTTGCTCCAGAGTGTTTTCATGTTCTGATTCTAAAAAGCTTTGAAAACGCAAACCCAGTAGAAGAACTGGGGTCTCCTTCACCAACTGCTTTGCACCACCACCCCCTTTCCCTACAAGATGTTCCCCCCAAAAATGTGGAAAGAGTTCTCCACAGGAAACTTTATTTTGGGAACTCATATGGCTGTTGGTGGATTTTTGTTTTGATTTTGCATTCTCAAGCTTTGGTCTGACTAAGAGCAGGGCAGAAGGACCTGATGACCTTAACCTTGACCAAAACTCCAAGCAAATGCAGGCAAAAATTGGGCAAAAATTGACAGGAAGTCAGATCTCATCCAGAGAAGCCACCAGGAGGATGAGCAGCTCCATCAACAGTGAGTCAGCACCTGCTCTGGCCTGGCCTGGAGTCAGCCTGTACATTCACCAGAAAAAAAGGTTCAGAATAAGGCTGCTTCACTGGAGCTGTCAGTAAGTAATTCATCAACAAATGGAAGTGAGACCATTGACAGTGAAAGGAATGCTTCGTCGAAACAGGACAATGTTATGGAACTATTCGTATGGTCATAGACGGTCCGCAAACACAATGAATTCCAATATTTCCATTTTCAAATTAAAAGCAAACAAAACTCTCAGAAAGGAAAGGAGAACGGGACACTGGAATGAGCAGGGGGTGACTTCAACGAAGCTGTTCAGTTCTGTTCATTTCTAGAATCACACAGAAGTGACAATCTTCTCATTCCTCTAGTGGAGGGTACAAAAAAAGAAATGATTCTGAACAGACAAAGTAGAAAATTAAGGCAATTATCCAGCTAATTCAAAACAAATAGAAAACAGAGACTGGGCTTGAAGCCTCAATTATCCAAATGGGCTCATATAATGAACAAAGACAATTTGTTGTGTTGATGTTTTCTACAATTCATTTTTAAGCTGTTGACAATATTGACATAGTTCTCTCCCTTCCACATTTCCTTTTCTGAGTCCTACATTAATTTCATTTGTGATTTAACTTATTCATTGTGAAAACCTCCTTTTTTTCTGAAAATGTCATTGCCTCAGGGAAAAATCTATTCAGATCCTAGATGTAGCATTGGAAGGGACCTCAGAAGCCAGGCAGCCCAGCTGCCCCATCTTACAGATACAAAGATTGAGACCTAGGGAGCTCAGTGGAGGCAGGTTTAAATTCAGAGGAGGCTTTGCTGGCCTCCCCCTCTAGGCTTCTGAAGGATAAGAGACTTGCCCAGGGTTCTGCTGGGAGTGAGTGGCTCTGACTCCAAACCCAGCCCTCTTTCAACTGCACCATGAAGAGAACTCTGACATCCCTAAAAATCATTCCATGATGAGAAGGAAAAGTTGATCTTTATTAAGTCAATAGCAACTCAGGTGTATTCCAAAAGATTCTTCCTGTCCTCCATCCAAAAAGCAGATGCTAGACCCCAGACTAATACATGCCCTATGCATAGCAATCCAGGAAGCCTGGCAAAGGAAATGGCAGGAAACCACTCCAGTATCTCTGCCAAGAAACCCCCCCCAAAATGGGGTCATGGAGAGTCAAACATGACAGAAACAACTGAACAATAACATTCTAGCTCACTCTCCACTCATTTAATCAACAAGCATTTATTGAGTACCTACTATGTGCCTGCACTGTGTTTAGCACTTTTACAGAGATGACTTCAACTTATCCTCACAAAAATGCTGTAAGGTAGGTGCTACAATTATCTCCATTTTACAGTTGAGAAAACTGCAGGAGGGGTGGTGTAGTGACTTGTCCAGAGTCATTCAACTAGTGAGTGTCAGGAAGGACTTGAACCCTGGTCTTCCTCACCCTAAGGCTGGCCCCCCCAGCCACTACCTTCCACACTGCCTCTCAGCTAATGTTCCTGTAACTAAGATTGGCAAAGTGTTTTGCATACGTCATCTCCTTTAATTAAGGATTTTCATAGTAAAAATAGCCAACATTTACATATCACTTTAAGGTTTGGAAAGTATTGTATGCATATATACATATATATAATGAGGTACAGAGAGGTTAAGAGGACTTACCTAGAGTCAGACAGCTAGCAAGTGTCCAGGGCAGGATGCAAACTCATTTCTTCCCAACTCTAAATTTAATAGTCTAGCCATGACTATGGTAGCCTAAATCTGAGCCTGATCCCTTGAGAAAGCAGGCTTCTAAAAGACCACATAATATGGGAGCTACTTTCTGGGTAGTATAAGGCATTCCCATAGCTTCAGGGAAACAGGAGGCCCTCTCTGTCCTGATATGGACCTCCACTTATCACATTCAACCTCAGCTGTCACCCTTCAGATATTAAAAGCTACGCCAATACTACTGTATACGGCAAAGGAAAACAGAAAAATGCTCAGATGGCAAGAGTTCCTGAGCTGGGGTCCACAAACCCCCACCAGGCTGATTTCTAGGTGTCCATGAACTTGGATGGGAAGAATTCACATCTTCCTTTTGACTCTGGTTGGGTTCCTCTGAAATTGGATGTACTTATTCCAAATTGCTATTTTTCCTAAAAAGGCTGCAGTAATAGGCTGCTTCAGACCACCAAGAGACCCAAGGACTAGGCTGACAAGCCCCTCTTCTACTGGAATTTGGTGGATAACAAAGGGCAGAAGATCCCCTTATTCCCCAGTGCCCTTTATCCCTGTGAGTCCAAGACTGCTTTACTGTAGCCACTAATTTCCAGACTGATCCTGGACAGATGCCTATCATAAAGCAGAAAAGGTGATGGATTATGAGTCCAAATCCTGACTCTCACTTCCTGATGGCAAGACCTACTTCACCTTAATGGGCCTCAGTTTCCTCATCTGCAAAATGATGGGTGTTAGACTCTGTGACCTTTAATGTGTCTTCCAACTCCAATTCTAGGATCCCAGGCCTCAGTTTCCATGTCAATAACATGACAGAGGTGGACTGCCGAACACTGAAGGTCCCTTCCAGCTCTAAATCTATGACCCTATGGCCACACCTTCCCTGGTAACCTGGCTTCTGCCTTGATTTGTTGTATAAATCAGGCACAAGCTGTTTATTCTCCTGCCTAATCCTAAGACTTGATTTAATTCCCTATTTCTCTTGGCAAGTATAGGCCCTATCATTCTATGCTTAGAATCAGATAATTAGGAGGTGGTTCCTACACACTTGGACTTGTTCATGCAACTTTCAGTGAAGTCTCTCAACCCTCAATTTGTTCCAGTACTCAAAGCATTTATTCAGCTTGTCTGAGCCAGGCATTGTGCTAGGTGGGACAATAATTTTTAAAAGGAATAATAAAAAAACCAACCTAAACATTGATCTTATATGTGTCAGAAATTCAGCTACATCCAGGGTACGTCAAAACCTCATATTGAAGCCTCAGTACAACCAGGGTGATGTTCAGGTTAGAACTGTAGCACATTCAAGGGATAAATGAAAATAACCATGACTGTCCTATGTGGTTTGGCTTCCCAAATCTGCGTAGGCAGCTGAAATAACAAACTTCAAGCAATTAACAGGAATAATGAATGGACCAAACTGCATTTCCCATCACAGCTAGCAAATATGGAAAAGCAAACCAACACAGCCTCCAATATGGACAAACGGACACAAACATTAGGTCTTACCAGAAATGGGCTCCAGCAAACGCAAGAGACGCACATGATGGCCAAGAGTTGAATGATCATTTCAAAATGATGAGATCTGCCTTGTCGGTGCTGCTGATTTTTGAACTTGACTCTCAGAAGCGTGATTCCTGTGATGGCATTGCACAAGAATGAAATGGCCAGGGCTAACAGCCCCAGAAAAGAAAAGAGCAAGATATAAAATTGGTCTTCCCAGTCTTGGATATGCTCGGTTCTGTAGAAACACCAGGTCCGGGATGCTTGGATCTCATAGGCTCGGAGCCCCAGGATGGGGAGCACGGCAATGAAGATGGCAAAGAGGCACACACCTGCCAGCATCATTTTCACATGCTTGGATGTCATCTTCGTGGAGTGGAATATGGGTTTGGTGACTCCGATGCACCTCTCTACGGCCATCACACTACCCAGGAAAAGGGGGCACAGACCAAAGAACACCATGCATATTCCAAAAATGCTACATAGGACATTAGACTGATCAAAGCGGATCCAGTCCTTGTTGGAGGCATAGACAAACACAGCTATGGCTCCGTTGATGAGGTGGCCAAAAAGGTCAGTGATCACCAGGCTGCTGGCAAAGAGCAGGAAAGATGCCTTGGACTTCTGCCTAAATCGCTGGTATGCCTTCATGAGAATGGCAATGGCCAGGCTGTTGGACAGAATTCCTACTGTCATAAAGATAATGGAGAAGAAGACTGAGAGCCTGTTTTCAGTTTGGCAGGTGGTGTTGGTAAGGACTCCTGCAGCAGGAGAAGGGGACTGCTTGGATGTGTTCATAGACATGGTGACAGCAAAGATACACTGAACTCTCAAGACATCATCTCTGTCTCAAGCTGGGGCTGTCTTACTGTCAGAAGGCATCTGTAGCATGAAGGAAAAGAAAAGAAAAGAAAAGAAAGAATCCCACCCAGGTTAGGAAAAGCACATCAGACATTGCTCATCTGACATTTGAAGCAGAGGCTTCCAGGGTAGTTTGGTTATGGTGATGAGTCCTCCAGCCAATCACAGGGAAGGTTGCATAATGTTCCCAAAGCACATATGCATTCACTTCTACATTTCCTTTGCAAGAGAAGGACTTTGCCAAAAATGAGAGGCTCTGTGTGGTTAAACTTCAAGCCACACCAGCAAATTGCGTCTCTCTTAATGCTTTCCTGCTGAACCAACATTGGCAGATATGGCACTCTGCTATTCAGCTGACCCCAGGTGGAAAAGGGGAATTAGCCAAAGGAGCCACAAATAAAATGTGGAGTTGGATGACCTGGGTTCAAATTCTGGCTCTTTTTGTTCGTATGACCTTGAGCAAGACACTTAGCTTCTCCAGGCTTCAGTTTCCTCACCTATGAACTGAGGGCATCCTTCTAAAGGTCCTGCTCAAGAGTAGTTCGTTCTTTGTCTCTTTATCCCCAACACCTAACACAATACCCTCGAGATAATAGATGCTAATAAGTGCTGATTGATTGATTGATTGATTTTAAGAAAATTTTCCTTCATTTGGGAGGTGGCACCAAGCAGGAAAAGTGAAACTTTAAAAGGAATTACTGAATACACAGGACAGAAGCAACCCTAACCTTTATGGGACCATAGACCTCGAGCTAGAAGGGACCTTAAAAGTCATCTGGTTCGAGCTCTTCGTTCTACAGATGAGGAAACTGAGGCTCCAAGAAGAGAAGGGACTTTCTCAAGGTTATACACGTAGTAGGCAACAGAGCAAAGATTTAAACCCAGGTTTTCTGATTTCAACTTACGGTGGGCAGCTTGAGTTAACCCCTCCCTATTCAGCCAGTCTGGTTATGGAGAAACTGACCCAGCCAGTTGAATTAACTTCACCTTCAAGTGAACTGACCTGGAACCCTTGGGCAAGGAACACATATGGACAGCTTTATGTATTGAATGGGAGAGTTCTGACACCTCACAGAACCTCCCAGAAGGCTGATGGGGGAGGAGAAGGGTCATTACATAGTTTTTACAGAAAACCTGTGCTAGTTTGTTCTTCAGCCTAGTAAAGTAATTGTTGTCCTGACCCTGAAAGCACCTGGTGGTCCCTGACACCAGATGTGAAGCCCCTCTGGGACACAAGTCCATCATTAGTTAGTTTTTCTATAGCCTTATGGTTTACCAATTCTACTCACTGAAGGAGAAGGCTACTGAGAAATCATCTAATTGGAAGGTTAGTAATCTGGGGGCCGTAGATATCCAAGGGGTCTATGGATAGATTTCAGGATGTCTGTGAACTTGGATGGGAAAAATATATATACTTTTCTTATTATCACTAACTTCTAAGTGAAAGTGGACATTTCCTACAATTAAGAATCTTTTTTTTAGTTTTCATTTTGAGAAGGCCCATAGGCTTCACCAAACTACCCAAGGACTCCACCACACACACACACACACACACACACACACACTACATAAGTCTCAGCGCAATTGAGTGGCTTGCCAGAGGCCACGATCTTATGGGTTCGTGGCAAAAAGGGCCATCTAGGCCGATAAGGAAATAAAGGAGGTTCCGAAAAGTTAAGGCATCAAAGTAGCAAACGAAAGAGCCAGGATTTAACCTTAAATTCCCTGAGACCACCTCTCAGGCTCATTTCTGTGCACCAACCTCTCCTTCTAACTGGAATGGAAAAGGCACTTTCTGTGCCCAAGGAATTTGTTGGTTTCTTCTTAAATATAGGCGGCGATTTGTTTTAATTTGCTGAGTTTTTTGTTTTTGTATTTTTCCTCTGAAGAAGATGACGAATGCTAAGTGACCACGTGCCAAGTACCTTCTCTAAAATCTGCACAGTCAAGAGACTTCGCGGCCTCCTTCTCAATTGTCACAAAGACTCCGGACCCGCCTGCGTGGTCCTCTCGCCACCGGTTTAGCCCTGCTTCTGACAGCTCTTAGGAGTTTCGTGGAAACCTGTCTAAAATCTAAGGCAGATCACACCAATCGCACATACGCACGCATTCCATTTGAGGGGCTACTCTTTGCCCCTCCAGCAATGCAGAAAGCAGCGGGGCTGAGGGGAAAGGGAAGGGAAAGGAAGGAAAGGAAAGGTTAATAATGGCTATGGTACCACACCTGCCGGAGACTCTGAGCCCTTGGTTCTGTCTGGGAGACGGTATACACCAAATCGAGGCTGACTTCTGAGACTGAGGGCTTCTGTGAGTCTGTGGTCATAGCGAGCCCCTCAACTCATTTCACCTCCTTAGAATGGCTAGGAAAGGACTGGATTACATCTCGCAACGTCCCACCAGGGCCACCGCGCCCGGGCGGCATGTATTCGGTTGGCCTTTCCAGGAGAGTCAGGCTAGCTGCTGGGAATTCCAGAGGCAACCCTCCCGGGAGTGGGAACCACGCGGCCCCGACCGCCCAGGGCCTCCCTCTGCACTCAGCTGGGCTCTTACTCACACTTGGTTCACTGTCCCCGTTACTTCCCACCCCTACCCCCAGGCCACTTCTTGCAACATCGCCCTCTCCCCCCCCCCCCACCTCCCCCGTCTGCTTTCCAGCTGCTTGGGATTGCTCAAGCATCCCAAAAGTGAGAATGGATGGATGGATTCCTAACTAGCCACCGGAATGGGATAGAGGGGCTCCAGGGCTGGACGACGAGTGCAGCAGTGCAAGGTGGACCTGACTGACAGAAATCCAGAACAGCTGGGGTACTGGGGAGGGGGTGGGGAAAGCAGAGCAGGTTCTTTCTTTCCTCCCTCGAGGGAGCCGGACCCACCCCCAACCGACATATCTCCTCTCCTCTTTCCTTCTGCTTTTCCTTCTCCTTCCGTCTGGAATTTGACCCAAACCTGTTGGCCAAACGGACCGCGCTTCTCCGAGAGAAAGAACTCTGTCAGCAGAGATCCCGGTGGCGCGACCCTCTATTAATTACCTGGGTGCGCCCCGCAACCCGCGGGGGCGCAGGCACATGGCACCAGTCCGGGCCACATAGCGGCTCCGGGGCTCCAGGCTCCAGGCTTCAGGCTCCAGGGTCCAGGTTCCACGTTCTTGGCTTGGGCTGGCTCCTCGGGAGCGGTGGGTCTGTCTTCTCCGATCGCACTGAAGCAGAAGCCGCGGCTGGTCCTTCTAACCTCGCCTCCTCTCTCTACTTCTCGCAGCCTGCCAACCCCAAGCTGTGCAGGCGATTAAAATCTGCCTAGACTCGCCCTCAGATCCCTCCTTCTTTTTTCCCTCTTTTTCCTCCTCCTCCTTCTCCTCCTCCTCCTCCCCCCCCCCCCCCAGCGCGGCTCTTGCTCCAGGATATAGGTGGTTCCGCCACCCGCTATCTCCCCAAGTCCCCTGCTCCTCTCCGCCCCGTTTTCCTTGACAGTGGGACAAGATGAGGACGAGAGGACGCGGCTACAAAGCCACCCGCAGCAGTTCACCAGTGGAACTGGCTGGGGACAGGCGAGTGCAAGGAAAACTACACGGGCGTCTCCAGGCGTTAGCGAAAGCGCAGGAAGGTTGCAGAGCCGGAGTTTGGCGAGCAGCAGAAAGAAACCCTTAGGCTGCGGATGTCATCCTCGCTGAAGCTCAGCTGGAGTAGGAAAGGCAGCTCTGGAACTATTCCAATGCTCCTTCCCTTGCTCGGGCAAGGACGTGAATTGTCAGAGTGGAAGTCACTGGGCCATCCACTTACCCCAGGCTCAAGAATGTCGCCACTGGTCCCTTCTGAAGAGAATGGAGACAGGGCTTAAAGGCCCGTCGCAGGACCAGGCAACAGTACAAACTGGCCTCGGCTTCTGCAGCTAGAGCATAAAGGCTCAGGCGAACGTTTGCCAAAATAAGGGCTTTCCTTATACCTGGGCAAAGGCGCTCAGTAAAAGTGAAATGCATCGTTCGTTGGTTCCTAACCAATGTGGGGAGGCGGCGGGGAGGAAGCAGCGACGGGAGTGAATAGCATCGTAGTTTTTAGAAACGCCATTCGGGTTGAAGATCGCTTCTAATCCGCACAGGGGAACCGCATATTAAGCTTAAACTACACTAAGTCTTTTGAGACTGTATGTGTGAAAGCCAGGTAATTACAGGTACGGATTCTATTGTATAGGACTCAAAAAGGGGAGTGTTCCTGTTGGGACATCGTGAAAAGTACCGACCCTTGAGATCCCCACGATATTCTTTAAAAAAAATTTTTTTGTTAAATTTTTGTATCTGCAGGGCTAGCATAGTGCCTTGTACAAGGTGGGATCTGGTGTTGAATTGAATTTGTTGAAAGCATGTTGGTGCATTGGTTTGAATGCCTGCAAGTAGATTAGCTGTTCAGGAAAATTATTTGCAACTATGTAAGAAAAGTTACTAAATTGTTCATACTCTTTGACCCTTGGATGCCTCTACTGGATTATAGATACCACCTCCATCCCACACCCCAAGCAGATGTTTGAGAGCAAATAGCAATCTAACTATGCCAAAAAAAAATGTGTTATTTGTGATAAAAAGCTGGAAAAAAAACATTTTGTGCACAAATATCACAGAACCATAAACTGAGAACTTGAGGAGACTTAGGGGTCATCTAATCCAATCCTTCATTTTGCAAATGAGGAAACTGAGAACTATGGCTGTAAAGTGACCCCCCCAAAAGTCAAACTCAGGTAGTAAGCATCACAGGTGGCATTTGAATAGGATGGAGGAATGGTGGAATTCAAATCCTACCTCTGACATTTGCTACAGTTCACAACTTTGGGTTGGGAGAATGCATGAATGCACTGTGATCTATTAAGGAGTGAGAAACATGAAGAATTTGAAGAAATCTGAACCGATCTTTATAAAGTGACCATGAGAAGAAAAAAACAGAAGCTTAAACAGTTGCTAGACATGACTGCAACAATGTAATGAATGAATTGATCGAAAAGCTTTATTACTGCTCCTAGTATGTGCCAGGGATGCAAAGAATCGATTGTAAGCTCAAGGAACTTACAATCTATCAGGGGAGGCAACATGCACGTGTGGAAATGGAAACGTTCCATACAGAGTAGATAAGGACCCCAGGAAGAGACAACAGAATTGAGATAATGGACAGGGTTGGCACCTCACTGCCAAAATTATAGCCTACAACACGGGAGGGGAGTCTGTAGCCTCAAGGCTACATGAGACCCTCCAGGTCCTCAAGTGCAGTCTTTTGACTGAATCCAAACTTTACAGAACAAATCTCCTTTATAAAACAATTTGTTCTGTAAAATTTGGACTCAGTCAAAAGGCCAAGGACCTAGAGGGCCACATGTGGCCTCGAGTCTGCAGATTCCCTACCTCTGGCCTACACCCTTCCTTTCTGTGAGCTACTGGTCAACTTCAAGAGTGAAAAGTGAGGCATGGTCTTGGTTGCACTGATGCTATCTAGCAGTTTAGCAGAACTGTTTGGGGGGATGCATTTCATGTAAGGGAGTTGTTTGGATGTTTGTTAGGAAATATAATTTGTGCAAAGCAAAAGAGAGCCATAAAAAAAGAGGGAGGGGGGATGCTCAGATAAATTGTTTGGGATTCTTGATGATTTGCTTCAGGAAGAAGTGAAAAGGCATCTCAACATTTCATTTTCAGTTTGGACCTAGCTAGTTTCCCCCAAGCACTTCCAAGAGCCCTCTTCCCCAAGGAACTAAAAACCGTGAATCGTGGCTCCAATGGCCCAATCCAATCCAGTGAGAACTGATTAGGCATCTGTTGTTTCAAGTATTGTCATTCAATTTAATTCAATTAATATGTATTAAACATCTGCTACTGTGTCAGGCACAGACAACACACACACAGAGTCCCTACCCTCAAGAAGCTAACATTCTACCTTTGACCTCTTTCAATATTGGCCTGGCTGCTGTTGCTGCTGTTGCTAATGGTAAAATATTGCCAAGGGAACAGCTACGTATATCCTGGTTCCTGTAGAATCATCTAACTCCTGCCCCATTCCTGAAACTCTTCACCAATTGACTACACAATGAGAGGAAAAAAGTACAGCCCTTCCCTCTCTGAGTTTCAGTGAAATATTGTCATCCCTCCATCCCCACATGAAGGAGGGATGCCAGATGGAGATAAATCTCATCTCAGTTCAAAGATGAAAAGGGGCCTAGAAATTCCTAGAAATTACAATGAGTCATAAAATGCCAATGTGAGAAATTCAATTTTTCATTAACTTTTAAAAGGATGACTAGTCTGCTCAGCTCTGAAGGAGGGACTGAGGTGAAATTTTAGATGACATAAAACATAAAGGGAATCCTGTGTGACCCAGTCAGAGTCAAGGAATGGAATATTCTGGTTAAGTGAATATTCTGGTTAGTAGCCATCATTTTTTTCTGTCCAGATTTGGGATTTTATCCATATGGGGAACTTCTTCTTTCATTGAGAGGGGATCCCTCTACCAATGTAGATAGGCAACTGTTTGTAATATAGCAATCAATCAATAAGCATTGATTAAACACCATTCACATCAGCCAGGCACTGTTCTGGATTTGGAGACCACAAATAAAAATGTATAGTCAGCTGTCCCAATTTTACTATTGGTCAGACATGAAGAAAGGACTACAGTGACCTTCCCCCTACCTAGAGAGACTGACTGAGGTTGGGAGGGTGATGCTGTGTATACCTGGGTTCAAATCCCAGTTTGGTCCTTTACCTAGTGTGGGACCTTGAGCAAGATGATAGAGCACCTCTGTTTTTTCATCTGCAATATGGGGGAACTATACTAACTGGCTCGTGAGAGCTCTTCCAGTTCTGGATCTATGATTCTATGTTCCTAAAAGAACTAGAACCTCAAGAATCTTCCAGATAAATGATGTCCCTCTAGCTTATTGCATCCTCTAATGTATTGATCAGTCCACAAGCATTTGTTAAGTGTTTACTATGTACCAGGCACTATGCTAAGTACTAGGGAAACAAAGAAAAAAAATAGGATTAGACTTAGCCCCCAAAATATCTCCTGCCCTTAAGGAGTGAATGTGGGAAAACAACATATATATATAAATAAGTATACGCAAAATAAATAGAAAGTGGCTGAAAAGTAAGTGCTTGAAGATGTGTGTGCAGATATATACATAGTATATTTCTAACATTCAATGAAGATAAGTGAGAGGAACTTGATCTTTCACCTGAAAAATGTAAACAACTGCCTAGGTGCTACTTCCCCCAGTAGATAAATAGTCAAAGGATATGGACAGGCATTTCTCAAAGGAAAAGTAATCCATGTGACCCACAGAACAAGGGGGAGAAAATGTTCCATCAGTAATAATTAAAGAAATGCACATTGAAGCAACTCCGAGGCTCCACCTTACACGGATCAGATTAAGAAAGATGACTAAAAAGAAAATGACAATTGTTGGAGAGGCTGGGAGAAAACAGGCTCCTTTGTGAAGCCATAGTGCTCATTAGATTCAGAATTTTTAAAAATGAATGTTTTTTTTTAAAGAAAAGCAATGAAGCACAATTTAATTACACTTTTCTTCCTAAAATATTGTCATTAATAATATTTAGTGAGACCAAAAAGATTTCTGTGCCATTAAATACAATTTGTAGAAATCCAGAATAAACACATGCTCTACTACAATCCAATGTATAGACACTGTCAGCCAATCAAATATTATTATTATTCATTCATTTATTCTAATATGTTCATCCCTCATTTTTCTTAAAAAAAAATCATGGAGAGTGTGGCAATGCTTTGACTTTATTGTTAGGAAAATGATTCTTTGGGACATCTCCTGGTATATAGGAAAGGAGATGAGTGCCAATCACAGCCAGTAGTAATATCACGCACCAGGCAGAACACAGTGTCTCTTGGAACTGGGAGTCCTTGAGGAGTGGTAAGTTGGGGTGGTAGGTTTTTTTTTTCTCCGAATGAAATTAAGAAGATTGCTCTTCCCCATATTTTTATATAAAGGGTCTTTTTTTTTTTTTTGGTTGGGCAATGGTGTTAAGTAACTTGCCCAGGGTCACACAGTTAGTAAGTGTCACGTGTCTGAGGTTGAATTTGAACTCAGGTCCTCCTAACTCCAGAGCTGGTGCTCTATCGACTGCACCACCTAACTGCCCCTGTAAGGCATTTTGTTAGTATAAGTGGAAAGAAATGAAAAAAAGAGAGATGTTTGGACTATAGCATATATTTTGCTCAAACTGAAATATATTAATATGCCAATAAAAATGATGATAAGGGTTGTGATTAACCTTTGATTTCAGC